ACAGTAGTATCTAAAATCTTATTTTTTATGCTCTGTGAAATTGTTTATATCTGTGTTACAAACATTCAAATACATACATACTCGTGCTATCAAATTTAGGGTTTTGTGTTTTATTAATATAGACGTCTCAATGCTAAGTGAAGTTTACATTTTTCGTACCATATGAATTATATTTCTGTCATATAAGTCACTCTAAGTTTTTATAACATATATCTTAACATTCTTATAATATCTGACAGATGTGTGTATCGAAACTCTGCATATATTTTTAGATATTATCTGATATTAACGATATCTCGCACCAAAAGATCGATAACCTTCCATTCGAAAAGAAATTATGCTTTTTAGTGAGTATGAAATGAATATTTTAATTGAAAAATGAAACTTATTATTCCCATGGCCGTGAAATGTATTACGTTTATTTTATGTAGTCTGTGATAATTGCTTATGGCGTATTACAAACCTTTCAAGTAAAGTTGACTGTCTTATGTTTGTGTATGTTTCCTCGAAATCAGTATAACTCAGTGACAATGGCAAACCCAAGAAGAGACCGCGTCTCTCACCTCTTTATCGCCCAAATTCAAACTTTTGATGATGAGAAAAAAATTATATCAGCTGGTATTTTCAAAAGACGCACTTTCTTCATGAGCCGGCCCTGAATGGCCACGTGGTTAGGGCGCTCGACTCGCAATCTGAGGGTTGCGGGTTCGAATCCCCGCCCCACCAAATATGCCGTGGGTGTGTTATAATGTGACGGTCAATCCTACTATTCGTTGGTAAAATAGTAACCCAAGAGTTGGCGGTGATGATTAGCTGCCTTCCCTCTAGTCATTCACTGCTAAATTAGGGACGGCTTAGAGCAGTTAGCCCTCGTGTAGCTTTGCGCGAAATTCAAAATTAACAAACAATCCACGAGCCTTCAGTAAAAGTAAAAAAAACAAAAAAGTCCTACTATTACACGCAATAAAAACAGTCCTAACTTATATCGCCGACAGGACGCCACATATAACAATTGTTTGATTAATTATTACATTTCTAAGAACTTTATGAAGGATAGAAAGGATAATACAATAAATGATTATTACGTCAGTGGATAGAGGTTTTGACTTGCGTACTGTGTATGGTACACTTGAGCAAGTACGCAAACTTCAGAACTGCAGATCCAGTTCTCTTGACGTCATAAGACGTCATAAAATGAAAACAGCTCGCCATCTGAACACGCTATGTCTTATCATAAAGAAGAAAGTCTAGTAAAGTTTGTTTGAACTTTCACCGAGTGACCTTTACCTTTAATGTTATAAGAAAAGTTTTCAAATAAATGATTCTAGTGAATAAATCAAACTTCATAGTTTGTTGTTCGTAGACACAAAAAAATAAATATTTGTTTCGCTAAGATTTCAAAGATGATAATAGAAGCATAGTTTCAAAGCTAATTTAAGTAGTTTCGCAGCATAGTTTCAAAGCTAATTTAAGTAGTTTCGCAGCATAGTTTCAAAGCTAATTTAAGTAGTTTCGCACAGAAACAGTCTACGTTACATTTGGTCCCACAGCGGCAAGTCTGAAGGCTTATAACACTAAAGCCAGGCTTCGATGCCCATGGTGGGCACAGCACAGATAGCCCACTGTGTAGATTTGTGCTTAAACTACAAAAAAAAAAGTTATATATAAGTGTAGATGTCGCCACAATGTGGCCTATGATTTACACATCATCATATTTATGTGTAGTGACGAATCTCAAGTATAAATACTGTTACGTCTCTGGTCGTTAGTTAATTTCCCGTATAATTTCTTTCCGATGAAACTTAAGCGACACGAGTCCTTTCTTAAATAAAACTAGTTTATTCTTTCTCAATACAACTTTGCAATACACTTAATTTCTACAGTCACGCTATAACTTAAACAAACGCTATAATTCACAACGAACGAACGATTCACGCGCTTGACTCAATTGTCGTCTCTATCTCTGTCTGCAATTCAATTCCCCTTGTTGCCGTCACTTCTTGGCGGTCTTATATACAAGAATACCGCACATCTAGTAAACACTCGAGGCTTCACGAAGAGACATGAATTTTCTAGAAGCTCATGACGTGTTACTAGCGTCACGTGACTTCCGCTGTCGTAACAATACGTACTTATTAAACATTTAGATGTGAAGCCCTGCTGACGGTTATTTGCCTTACAAATAGAGTTTATACACACATATGCCTGCAAAACGTTTCTAATATAATCAGTGACACACGCTTTTCTGCCATACCTAAATGTAAGTTTAATCGTGTCACATAATCATAGATCCTTGTAAATTTTATTGAGTCAGTGTGTCACACATCTAAGTAATAATCATCACTTTCGCATCAAGAGAAGTTAGTTATATAGATTAGAAACATAGGCATAATTTTCACGGGGGAATAGGTCCCCCGTACTTTTTGAGGAATGAAATACCTTTTTCATTCAATAACCTCACGCATACTCCAGCTACACAAACTTGTCCCCAACCCCACTTTGAAAATAAAATACGCCATTGATTCGAAATAAAACTGTTTAATCGTGTCTCTCTGTCACATACACGTGTAAGTTAGTGTGTCACACAAATTTACGTAAATATAACTGTTTAATCATGTCTCTCAGTCACACACATGTGTAAGTTTGAGTCAGTGCGTCACACAAATTTACCTAAATATAACTGTTTAATCGTGTCTCTCGGTCACATACACGTGTAAGTTAGTGTGTCACACAAATTTACCTAAATAAAACTGTTTAATCGTGTCTCTCGGTCACATACACGTGTAAGTTTGAGTTAGTGTGTCACACAAATTTACCTAAATATAACTGTTTTATCGTGTCTCTCGGTAACATACACGTGTAAGTTTGAGTTAGTGCGTCACACAAATATACCTAAATAAAACTGTTTAATCATGTCTCTCAGTCACACACATGTGTAAGTTTGAGTCAGTGTGTGTGTCACACAAATTTATCTAAATTTTATTTTATCACTTTGATACACATAAGTGAGAATGTTTTAGTACCCTATATCACTCATTTACTCTACGTTTATACTCTCGCACACGTGTACGTTTTATGGCCTCACTATGCATATATCTGTGGAAGTTCTACGCGAGCTTACGCTTTGTCACTGCAAGCTTGTACTGGATGATATCACACGAATTGAAAAACCATTTAACGAAACCATATGACCAAGTATTATCTTCAGTATGGTGACGTAGAAAGTTTCAACTCTCTATGTTTTAGTGAGTCACAGCAACGCCGTTTTACATGTGTCTCCTCCTTTTGTAATTTTGTTGAAATAGTCACCTTCGTCTCTAGTACAAAGGTCAACACACAAACTAAAATAATTTTATATCGAAATCACTTTCGGTTATCGACCGAGGAACTGTAATTGATCAGTGTCTGCCATACTGGTGACGCCGTGCGAAAAATCTATCACGGTTTGTTGTTTTATTCTGAAAGAAATCATCGCGAGTAAAAAGAAAAATAGGAGCTTCCAAAAAGGACTTCGTTTCGAAAGTGTACTTGTTTAGCGCCACCCCAATTAGAATAAACAGACAGACTCCAGAATGGCTCATCATACATTTAAGGATGAGATGTTTAGTTTTAGCTGCGAAACCTAATGAGGTGGTCTTCCAACCAGGTAAGGTAAAAAAAAAAAAAGTATCAATAACCCACTCTTTAGTACTAAGTGCACGTAACCGTTTAAAATAAGTGTATGTATGTATTCGCAGAACATCAAAGACTACGCTGGCTAAGTTTAAGCAGGCTGTAAACTAAAACGGTTGAATTGTGGGTATCATTAAGTTTAATAATTACAAGCTGAGGCGTTTTGTCATTTAACACATTACTATGTAAATTCGTTAAAATACTAAACTTGGAAGAACTGAAGAACACTTGTACATGTAGCAGTATATGAGCTGTGGGGGGAGGGGGGGTTACCTCATTTGTAGTTGCTCTTGAACATATATTCGCGAATATCCATTAACCAAAGTAGCAAATTTATTAATTTTATCCTATAAACTACTACCTGAAGTATGGAAATTCATGATTAATGAAAGGTTATCTTAGGACATGAAAAGTTGTTTCCCTTGTATGTAATTGTGAAAAATGCCCATAAAAACTGTAAAACACAAAATGTACAACCGTAACTTTGCATGTATTTCTTCATAGACCCAACAAATCTTCATACCAAATTTGGTGAAGGTCCATCAGTAGGGGGGCGAAGTAGTGGTAAAAAAACGCCCATGAAAACCGCAAAATTGAAAATTTGTATGTACCCCCGCATGGACCTAATGAACCACCATACCAATTTCGGTGAATATTCATCCACACCCAGCGAAGTAGTTACATGGACATACAACAGACGGTACTATTGTATTTATATAGATACCTACTTACAAGTAGCACGAGAATTATAAACTGTTCAATTTTCAAAAAATATACTCGAAGACCTTCTGGTATTTTAGCTGTAGGAATATGTTTTAATTAGTGCTATTGTTTCTCAATGGATCCTGGATTTGAATCCCTGATCATAATTAATTTACGTATGCTTGTCAAAGTTATGGTTAAAGTAGTATTGAAAAATAAACACGGTTGATTCAGAGCAGGGGTGGCCAGCTGTTTTAGCAGTTGTGCCAATTTGAGGTTCTGAATTTTAAGATGGCATTGAGATGGAAGAGTTCACCAAACCAAAGTCGATAGGAAGGACGGAGGGCAAGTAGTCAATTTAAAAACATTTCATGCGTGTACAGATAGTCGAAACAAAACTTACACTGTGCCACAACTTGTAATATTTCCTAAAACACGTTTTTGCCTCGCGTGCACTCGTTGGCCAATTTCTCATTTACAGGTTTGAACGAAGTTCTATTTGAAAGTTTTCCTCAATTTCAAAAAGCTTTTTATTTTCACTTGAAAGATTACAAGATTGTAAGGATATGTAACCTTGATTTTTTTTAGCAAATCCCCAAACGCTCTCAGTTAAGAAAAACTATTACTAAATTTGTTCGAAATATGACACCAAATTAGTGTGCTTTTCACGTTTTCTTGAATCTTATTTATTATTAATCGCAAATATAAAGGTTTATTAACACAAGATCTCTTCATCAATGAGAAACGAAGTAGACATGGAGTCAAAATAGGAACTTGTAGCTTGAGAAAATAATGTAGACTCTATTTCCAGCCTAATTTGTTTACCTTTTTAAAGTCCCTAGTTGTAGGCTTGAAAATATAATCTTTGCATTTTTTTCCTTTTTTGACGATCCCTATTCCCCTTTTCAAATTAAAAAAAAATTATCTTGTAGTAACTTCTAATGATAAAATACTGAAATAGGTATCAGAATTTAGTTAGTTTTTAGCTTTATATTTATTAAATCTTCATAATTCTCATACGTTATTAATACTCCATTATTAGATTTCTTAAAATACTGTTACGTCTCCGTTTGTTAATTGATTTTTCTGTAACTTCGTTCCGACGAAACTTTAGCGACACAAGTCCTTACTTAATAAAACTGGTTTATTCTTTCTGAATATAACTTTACCGATACACTTACTTTCAACAGTCGCTCTATAACA